TATCCTTCAACACTAAATACTGGTCAGAACATTTATAATTCAACTAATAAATTGAATTAAAAGAAATAAACTCAGTTAACAATATTGAGAAAATTTAACTTAGATGTACGTGTTGAACGTTTAAAGTTTAACTGAGAAATGTAATAGACCAAACAAAAACAGTGAGCGCTCTACATGTAACCTCAAGCCAGTTCACAATATTACAATTTCTTAACACGAATATCAAAAATTATGTTTGAATATGACTTATCTAATAACTCTGTATCCTTCATTAAATTCAAGCCTTCCTTCTGCTCTTTGATATGAATCATTTCAGATATATTTCTTTTCCTTTTTCTTTCAGATATATTTCTTTTCTTTTGTTTTATTGATATGTTAGATTATTTAAGATTGTAGCTTGTAATAAGCCTTGTTACATTTTAATTTTTAACATTAACGAGCATGATTAATATATATTTAATAATATATGTTATAAATATAAGATAATTTTACGCAACAAATATCTAGCGTTGACTCCAACTGCCCATTGTTGTTTATACATTTAGTTTGATTATTTGAGGAGTCCATAGATTGCAATTTCTTCATGTATTGTTAACGAACATTAGAACTAGCAACTAAATAATCACGAGGAAATAGCGCCGATCCACTAAGAACAAGTAAAAACGTGTAATCACTTGCAAAATGCATAGCGATGCAACGCGAAACGCGCGCATCAATCACGAAGGCCTCAAAGAGCAAATAAGAGCTACTGCAAATTAAATAAGGGCACGAATAACGAAATGAGAGCCTTAAACAAACAAAGGAAACTCACGAGCGCTTCGGAAGAAGGAACCGAAAGATACGCGGAAAAGCGGAATGAAAAAACGCGCAAATGATGCACACTAGCTACGCCGCGACCGAGTGCATCACGCACCAACCAAGAGCACCCCTAGGAATATTGCAAAACCTGCTAAGAATAAGAATAACCGAAGAAACAAAAAGACACACAGTAATTAAATAAATAGCGATAGAAGAATTAGAACTTTCGAGAGAATTTCGCAACAACACGTGTGCGAAAACACCCCCTTACCGCGAGGGGTCGCGATACAAAATATATATAAAGCAGGACGATTTACAGCAAAGCACCTTATTCTTCCTCCTGAAGATAGCCGAGGTAAGATACCTGGAGCGCTTATACTGAGCGTGGCTATTTCCCTCTTACCCGAGGATCCCCTCACTGCGCTTACGATTAAGCATAGGGACATCCTCATCGCCTATCTTACCCCAGCCTTTACCGAGCGCCTCCCCAGGCGAGGAAGGCTATCCTCTATCCCCTTGGACGACCGCGCTTCAACGGGAGCGTTGTCATCCAAGTATATTCCTCGTGGAAGCTCCGACGAGCGCTTTAACCGGCGTCGAGGATTCCTATCCTCCCCACCAAGCACTCATTCTTCGTCTTCTCTTTTTCGGGTATATAGATGCCCAAAAGGAAGCGTGTCAGAAGCAAGAGGGGAGAGTGGCGGGTGCACCTTCGCACCCTTAAAAAGGCACTCCACGAGTCCGGGGAGTTTGACCCCTCCAGATACTGGGCCAATGCCCACTCCACCGCCGACAACGCCGCGTGTCCGCCAGAACCAAAGGAACCGCCCCGCTCCACTGCGGAGCCGCAGCCTCAAAAGGAGTCTACGCGTCCTCCGCCACCGAGACCGCGATCTCCATCATATGTGGCCCCAGTCAGAAAGCCAACGAGGCCCATTCTCGTATCGCGGCCCACCATAACGACCATACAGCCTTGCAATATTAGCATTAAAATCATAAAACCATATTCAATTGTATTCTTTCTTACACCCTTCCTGTTCGTCCCAAATCAATGGAGAATGTAGATAGAGAGATTGCGAAATGAAGTCAACTGACGCATCCTCTAAACTCTCCACATTATTTTGTTGGAAGGACACGAAGGGATAGCCATTTCAATCTCTTATAATTAAATACATTATCTCCGAATTTCGTGCTCATTTCCGAGCACTGGTGACAGCTGCCTATTCCCAACGACAGAAAAACGCGTCAAAACACCGCGTAGAAGCCAAGGCTTCGCCCCGCGCGCCCCGCTCCGCGCTCGCGTTCCCAACGAATTACGCCGCGTCTCGTGACTGCGACAGTCTCGCGCTCAGGACGTAACATCACTATGGCTGCGTTCGAGGAGCGCGCTATCAACGCTATTTGTGTCATACTATCCTTGTTTCACATTTAATGGACGATGAAGATAGAATGACACAATTAACGCTAATAGCGTCTCCCCGAACCCAGCCTAAGTCTGATATCGTTTGAAAGTGAAACTTTTCACGTGAGATTGGTACATACAAAAAGTGAAAAAATGAGAGTTTCGTAAAAATTTACATAATCGATACCATGATTGATACCCAGGCCCCTGACACTCTCATAGTTCCGATGGCTACTTAAAGGCCGCGACACAGATTTTTGCGTAATGCATAAGGCATAACGCATAATGGGCCTTCTACAATAAGTCATTAGCCCGGATCCTCATACGGGCAACAGCACTTTGACACCGAACGCTTATTGGTGAAAAACGGGCGATGGGGGTAAATTTTACCCCCACAACCGGCTTTTCACCAATTAGCGCTCTGTGTCAAAGCGCTGTTGCCCGTACGAGGATCCGGGCTTAGTCATAAATCAGAAGTCAGAAGCTAGTTATAAACGAGTCAGTAGTGCGTTATAAGACAGTAATAAGTCGGTAGTCAGTGACAGAATGGAGATGGCCAAATTCCATCTCTTCCGACTTAGAGCTTATGATTACGTTATGACTGACCAATCAAAAAGCAGTATGTGTCTGCCATTTTTAACGAGAAAACTGATTTCATATAACCTGAAAACATTGTGAAAATATTAAAGTTGAAATCTTTATGTCGTATTGAAAATGGAATCTGTATATTTTCAAGAAACAGATGACATGGAGCTCATTAAACTTGTTGAATCTAATTGTTGCGTGTACAATAAAAGAACATGGGAGTTTAAGACTGCGGATAAAAGAGAAGTATGGGCTCTAATAGGTGCCGCCCTAACCAACAAAAAGACAGGTAGGTATAATTTATGAAAATATTGATTATACCAATTTAAATTTAATTATTTCTTTTGTCTTTATATTAGGTGATCAAGCCCAAAGAAGGTGGGACAGCCTAAGGGCTATGTGGTCACGCCAGCACAAAAAATATTACGAGCAGGGCGATCAGGATCGGGTGCAGCAAGTCAGGACACGCAGGAATTCCAATATTATGGTGAATTGGCATTCCTTATCTCACATTACAGTTCACGACAGTAAGTATGCAATATCATTTAGCATTTTAGAGTTTATAAATTTATATATGTTGCAACCGTACTCGCGAGCAACGGCACAACTTCGTCGCGTGTTCTCGGTACTCAAAGTACGCAAAAGTATCTTCTCTCCCTCGGTAGCAGAATTTTGCGACAGCCAGGCGGTTCTTCGGCCAGAATTGTAATTCTTATTACTAAGTTGGGCGCCGGGCTCGAGAGAGCGTGCCACTCTTTTCGAAAGCTCCTCACTTTTGCCCGTAACGTTTTCGCGACGGCAGGGGGTGGGTCACAAGGGGTGTGGGAAATTTGTCGGAGGGCGAAAGAGATAGGCCACAAGAATAAACCACGCGAAATGTAATAATAAGAACAATTATATTTGAAAAGAATGTAGTGAAGCAAGTATGATAAGTTACAGTAGTGAAGCAATTACAAGTACTCTCTGGGGTTTCGCCCCTCCGCTCTGCTCGATACTTTCGGTACTCGCACAGAGAGTCGCTAACTTAATCCTAACGCCGGACGTCGGTCATACGCTACA